TTTTTTTTTTTTTTTTTTAAATTAATTTGCACACAATATCTATCATGTATTTTTAGAGTGGTGTTAAATTGAGATTTCTTAATACTATTTTAGTATATTTTAAAAGATTTTTTTTTTTGTAAGAATTTAATAATTTTTAAGTTTTTCTAATTTTTTTTTATAAAAATGTAATCACTATTAATATTTTTATAGACTTTCATAATCAAAATTTTTGTAATATAAACTTTAAGAATTAGTTTATAAAGAATTAGTTTATAAGATTTAAAAATATTTTATGAAATTTTAAAGGATAATATGATTTTTAAAAAATAATAATACAACTAATAGAAAATATATAAATAATAAGAGTTAAATAAATAAACTTATTTGTTAGCATTATCAGACAAATATAAATTGTCAATCAGTTTATATTAATATTATGTTTGCTTAAAAATGATTTTTTTAAATGAGATTGTTAATGACATATTTTAAAAACTCATGTATGGACTTTATTATTTTAAAAAAATTAATGTGATTCTTAAGAGTGATTAAACTGATTTTTTTTTATAAATTAAAATGTATTTGATAGATTACAGATGTTTTTGAAATATTTATATATATTATTTAAAAATCAACAATTTTTATTATATTAAATAGAGAAATAAAAATAATATGGCATAATTATTAAGGTAGTACTTGTATGTTTACACTTCTGTTAACTTGTTTGTTAGACTAACTTGTTTTTCGCAAATTTTGCATTTTATTAGTTAGTTGACAATTAACATAATATTTTTACTATTGACATGTATTGATTTTGTTACATATAAATAATGATGTGATATATATGTTATTACAATTATTAATGTGTCATATCAATCATTAAAGTGTTAATTTATGACATAACAATATTTATGAAATTATAAAGTTAAACAAGTTTAAAATTTAGAAGATAAAACTCACAAAACTATAAAATATAAGTGTTTACACCTAAATATAATTTTATGTAATTATAAACTTGGATAGTTAAGATCAAAATCATACTTACTCTCATTTTATTTTATTCTCCTTAATTTTATTCTTTCTTATTTTATCTTTACATTTATTATTTAATCAAGGCAATTAAGATTTTTTGTTATCATCTTTGTTTATATATTCCTCATATAATTTTGATCAATGTACAAAAATAAAAATCTTTTTCTTCTCTAAAATTACATGGTATCATAACTTCAACTCTAATCATGTGTTTGCCTACCATGATATTTGCAAATTATAGATGTGTTGAAGCTACATTATCATCATTTATATCATCAAATGGAGAAAACATGAGGCAAAAGGGTGACGCTGAGTTGCTCATTTTCACTAAGGAACAATTAGAGTATTTATACAACTTCTTTTCATCTAAGATGTCAATTAAGCCATCTTTTTCTCTAGCACTAAATAGTATTTCCTTTTTCTATTGCCCTTGTTAGCACCAAATAAAAATTTGAAACTCCATAAATCATTAATTATGGAACTACTTACCACATGACAAATTGTTCAAAATTATTATCCACACGTTGTCCTTCTACATGTCATAAAAAGATTAGAATTGTAGATGGTACATTTTCTACTATAGCTAGTGTTGGTTTCATTCCTATATCTAAATCTTTAACCTTTCACAATGTCCTTCGTATCTCAAATTTGTTATGTAACCTTTTGTCTATTAGTAAATTGACGCATGATCAAAATTGTTTGACTATTTTTGACTTTGTTACTTGCAAATTTTAGGAGTTGAGTTCAAGGGGGTGATTGGCAGTACTAAGGAGGTTGATGCACTTTATCTCTTTGAGAATGAAGCAAATGTTAAAGAAAAAAACTCAAGGTAATTGGCTCGATTCAATTTCTATTCATGGAAAATGAAAAAATAATGCTATGGCATTGTAGGCTAGGTCCCCCGAGTTTTTGTTCTTAAAATATTATTTCCTTAACTTTTTAAAAATAAAAATTCAAATCTATTTTCCTGTGAAGTTTGGCAACTTGCAAAGCATCATCATTCTTCTTATTCTCCTCAATCTTATAAAAAATTTAGTACATTCACTTTGATTCATAGTGATGTATGAGGACATAATTGAGATCTAACACCAAATGAAAAAAAAAATGGTTCATCACATTTATAGATGACCATATGAGATTAACATGGGTTTACTTAATAAAAATAAAATATGAAGTTAAGAACACTTAAAAAAATTCCACGATACAAACTCAATTTCTTGAAAAGATAAAAGTATTTTGTAGTGAAAATGGAAGGGAGTATTTTAATAAATACCTAAATGAATTTTTTTCTTGAAAACGACATTATTCATTAAAGCTCTTGTATAGATACTTTCTAACAAAATGGAGTGGCTGAAAGGAAAAAATAAGCACATACTTAAAGTTGTTTGAGCTTTATTATTTCAAAGTATGGCACCAAAATATCTTTAGGTGAAGTAATTTTAACTAGAACATTTTTTTATCAATAGGATGCAAGCAAAGTTTTGAACTTCAAAACTCTTTTTGATGATTTCACAACTTCTTTTTCCAAATATAGACTCTATTGTACTTTATCCCTAATAATATTTGGATGCACTAGGGATGGCAATGGCCCCATGGCGGTGGGTAATAGTAAATCCGTCCCCGCCCTGCTGGATGAAAATTGGCCCTATACCCATCCCATATTCGTGCGCGTATTCATTAAGCGGGTACCCATAAATTTATTGAATACCCACAGATATCCATGGATATTTATAAATTTTTTAAGAAATTAAAAAAATTATATTACAAATAATTTTAAATTTATATTTAGTGTCATTGAAATATTAAAAAAAAAATTAATATTAATTTTAAACTTGTATTTAACGTTAATTTTGTTGAAATAATAATAAAAATACAAGATAATCAATAACTTAAAATACATCAATCTCACAAGTAAGTGAAAGTCTCATATCAGCAAGTTACAATAATTCAATCTCATAATTCTAAACGAAAGTAAACAGCTTAAAATACATAAATCTTATTGTTCCAATCAAAGCTAGAAAATTAATCAAATTTGATCTAACATATTCTATAACATGCTTAACACATGTTGGTAACTTCATCAACCTCACTTTTGTAAGAAAATAAGATGAGAAAATGTAGTTTTAGAGCTATGTGGTACAAAGATAATTAGAATATTTAATAAATATTATTAAATGGGTACTCACGGGTATGAATATCATCATACCAGCCCCCACTCCGTTTATAAATGGGTAAAAAATTATTCATCCCCATTATCTATAGGTACCCAATTAGCCTATATCTATTTATTATCTGCAGCGGATTTTACTTACAAATATATGCAAGTACGTATATTTTTGTCATCCCTAAAATACACCGCTTTTGTGTATACTTATGAGCCAAATCAAAGTAAACTTGAACCTAGAGCAATAAAGTGTGTGTTTATTGATTATGCTCCTAACAAAAATATAATTTTATCTTTATTGTTCAATACAAAAATATTCATTCCCCGTATAAATTAGGATGCTTATATTCAACTTTTTTTTTTCAATAAAAAGAATATAATTTTTTTTAAATTTTTATCTCATTTGATATATCATTTTTTATATTTAATTTTAGTATTTTTTTTTAAATTATTGATAGTTAAAAATAATTTTATATCGTAATTTAATATATTTATAATAAATTTTAAATATAATTTATATGTAAATAAATTTCAATTATGATATAATTTGTATATATACAAATATTTTATAAATTTTATTTATATAAAATAATTACATGTTGTACAAGGTAAAATATTATTTTTTTAGTTATATGAAATAAAAATTTATTATATAAACTGTATAAGTTAAAATATTATTTTATATGTTCAATGGAAATATTTTAGTGTATAGAGATATTTTTTTTAATGAATTTTAATTATAATATATTTTATATTTAAGATGTTTTATATATTATAAAATAAAAATAAATACATGTTAAGTATGATGTACAAATTAAAATATTAGTTAAATGTTATATGAATAAAAAAGCTGTAAATTATTTTTTCAACATTTATAATTTTTTTCTAATTATATTTTTCTCAATTTCTTCCTTTTCTTTTGGTTCGTCTCTGGAATATCATTGCCGATAGCAGTGACTAATATTCTCGCTACGTTGGAGGCACCTCAAAGAGTGGGATAGCTCACCCCAAGATTTAACGCCCAAGATTTAACGCTGCCAAAATAAGCTTGTATTTAAGGTTTGCACAGCCAAGATGAACTTGAGTGATGAAGTAGACCTGGAGGATTACGTATCTCGTCCTGACAAAATTAGTGCTGCTGAGATAGCAGCCATTTGTCAAGAAGCAGGAAT